AAGACTCCAAATGACAGAGCATCTGCCATGTCCCTAGGCAAGCCATTCCTGTGATTAATTACCTGCTCTGTTAAAAATGTGCACCTCATTACCAGCCTGGATTTGAAATTCAAAGTTGTTCCAGCGCTAGGGAAGGCTCATTGAAACCCCAACCTAAATAAATAAAGGGGACAGTGCACATCAGAGCTAAATCAAACAAGAAAAGGCAGAAAAAGGGAAAGGGGGAGAGATTGATCCTGGAGATTATCTGTTTTCCTGTTTATTAACAGAAGTCCATAAATTTCTCTGGATTTCCCTGTAATTGTCAGTTAAAATCAATTAAATATATTGACTGTTTCAAGAGAGGTGATAAATCCTCACTACATTCCATAGGTTTCACTCACAATGGACTTGATCCAAACTAAATTTCTAGGGAACTACACAACTTAGTCCTGTAGGACATTCCCTGTAAGAGATATGGGCTTGTACTTGGCAGTTTGTCAGCTAAACAATTACACAGGCTCCATAAATACAGGGTTTTGTTGGGTTTATAGATTTCCCTTCCTTTTTCCCTTTCATCATTTTCGTGCCAGTTCATATATTCCGAAAGAAATTCAATTTATATGAAATACAGTAGGGTAGAAAAGAAAGGGTCAGAGGGCTTCAAAATGACACTTGAAAATGAAATGTGTAATAGAAAGCAGAGTGGGAGGGCTCATGAGATTAACTGTAGGATCAGGGTTTTTTTTTTAACAAGATCAAGTGGCTGAAAGTTGGGAGTCAGAAGAGCTTATGTTGGAAATAAGATGTACATTTTTCTAACAGCTACAATGATTAAGCACTGGGAGAGATCCCTGTGAAGGATGGAGTGACTTCTCTGCTGCTTGGCACCTAAAATCAAAGTCAGAGGTCTATAAAAAGCTCTGGTTCAGCCTTAGGGTAATGAGCTCCACGCAGGGATCAGTAGATGAGATATTTTACTTATATAATTATTGTAATAATCCCTTTCAGGCTAAAGAGCCACGAGAAGAACCTTTTCTTTCTCCTAATCCAGCTCAGAGCCAGACACTTTGGGAATGGCTGAAATTCCTGTATTTTGAGCAAGAACTAACTAATGGAGCTGAACACCCAGAGCTCCACGAGCCTTTCCCGGGCAGGGATGTTCAGCTGATGGAGGAGCTGCTCTGACCAGATGTGTTTCTTTTTCCCTCCTCAGCTTTGCAGCCAAACCTCCTCTCCTTCCCTCAGCAGCAGGGCAGCCTCCTCCTCTCCCAGCCAGGACCCAGCCTGGCATCACAGGTAACCCCCCACCCACAGGGGAAAATTGGGGGTTTTCCTGTCGTTGTGCCTCTGAACATCCCTTTTTTGGGGGGTTGTTTTTGCAGGCTGTGGGTCGTTCTGGGCTCCCTGGCTCATCAGTTGAACCCCACCTGGATGTCCCCCAGCATTTGCAAGTGGCAAAGCACCTGACTCCCTCGGGGGCATCAGAGGAGCCAAGTGACCTGGAGGAGCTGGAGAAGTTTGCCAAGACCTTCAAACAGAGGCGGATCAAGCTGGGGTTCACACAGGTGAACCCTCACGGGTGGGGTGGCTGCTGGTGGGGACAGGTTGGGCTGGAGGGGGTGGTGGAAGGGTTAGACACAGTTTGGCTCATTTTGCAGCGTCCCCTTCCAAGCACACCAAGAGACAAACCCTTCCTAAAACTTCATTACCTCGTGATCTGCACCTCCTCCAGCAGATGGGGTGTGGGGCAGATCCCTGTGGGAAAATGAAGCCGCTTTCTCGGGAAAGGCGGGTCACGGAAACAAGGCTGAGCCCGGAGGTGGTGAGACAGCAGGGACCTGAGAGGGGCTTTCCCGAGCTCATGGTGTGATTTTGGTCTTCCCTGGCAGGGGGACGTTGGACTGGCCATGGGGAAGCTCTACGGCAACGACTTCAGCCAGACCACCATCTCCCGCTTCGAGGCCCTCAACCTCAGCTTCAAGAACATGTGCAAGCTCAAACCCTTGCTGGAGAAGTGGCTGAGTGATGCAGGTGGGTGACATGAGGTGCAGAAATGCCACCAGGGCGAGAGGATCCATCCAGGGACCTCCAGGGAAAGGTTCATCCGTTCGATCCCTCCCTGCGTAAACTGGGAAGAACGGGAAGGAACTCGAGGTTCTCAGTGATCAGCCCATGAGCTGTGATTAGAAAAGGAAGATATCACTGACAGGGGAATCCCCAGTGGCATCAGGATTGGGTTGGTGTCCTCTGCAGACTGATCTTGACTAATTTATCCAAGTGGTTTAGCCAACACCTTTAACTGTGTGAAATTAAACCACTGGAAAATCCCCACCAGAGCAGGCTGGACAAAGGAAAAGCAGCGTGTGGATTAAAATATTAGCACTCCTCTTTCTTCCCTGATTTGGACAAGCTCATTGATGGACTTGGGGACCTTGGAGCAATTTTAATCCTCATCAGAGGAAGGATCTACCCTGTAGGAAAACTTTATGTGTTTTAGGAAGTGTCCCAGTGCACAGAAAGGATCTAGGGATGAAAATAACTCATCATCTTATTGAATATCTCTTTTTTCCTCTCCCTTTCTCCCCAGAATCTGCTCCTTTGGATTCTTCCATGAGCACCCCCAATTCCTACCCCTCAGTGAACGAGATGTTTGGGAGGAAAAGGAAGAAGAGAACCAGCATCGAGACCAACATTCGCTCCACGCTGGAGAAGAGATTCCAAGATGTGAGGGCAAAATCTTCCCACGTGTTGTGAACTCTCTCTGAGTTCGGTGTTTTCTAGGTTGTGGTAGCACCGAATCCTCTTTAAAAAAAAAAAAAAGACATCTCTTTTGGTTTGTTTTGAAAGCAGGTTAGAAAATGCTTGAAGGGGTTTACAGGGAAAGTGTTAAAACTAAAGAAATTCCCCATTATCTCCTTGGTAAAAGTTGTTTTAAGGGAATTAAAATTTTATCACCATGTTTTCCCCATTGTCCCCCACTGAGCCAAAGCTGATCTCCTGCACCCACCTCTTCTCTTTTTGAGTTGCAGGTTTGTGTCACAGGAGCTCGGTGGCCACGATGCCCCATTAGGCAGCTGTTGTAAGACCACAGTTGCTCCAAATATTGCTGCTGAAACCATCCAGAAGTGGAGCCTTCTGCTTTTTCAGCATCAAAAATTTAAAGGAAAAATCACTACAGGAAGCAAACAGAGCTTTAATCAGCAGGGCTAAATTGTGCACTGAAAATTTCTCATCAAAACTGTTTCTGATCAGCCCTTGTGGTTTGGTTTTGTTTTGTTTTTTGGCTTCTCCCTCATATCAAAATTTGCTCAGCCACCCTCAGATCATTTTGGCACCACATTTTCAGCTGGTGGAAGGCGTCCTTTGAAATGGGAACAGTGCCTTGGCACCTCTGAGCCGGGGTTTTTTTTGACCCTCAAGTCTCCAACTCGGATCAAACCCCCACAGAGCTAAAACTGCTGTCAAAATGCACCAGGAAATAAATGAGTTGCTATTATTTCCCTTTGTAAACGAGGGATGGAAGAGGAAAGGGAAGCAGTGGCTTTTCTGAGGTGGTACAGGCGGGTGCACAACCTGAGAGGTGGCTGACAAGACCACCAGGCTTCAGGTGCCCCCCAGCAATGGTTTAGGGGCTGTTTAAAGAGTGAGGGGCTTTGTGCAGTAGCAGGGACAGGTGACTCATCCCACACTGATTCCTTGAGACTTGCTGTGGAACCTGGTTCACAGAACATGATCTCTCACTCAAATATTTACCCTTTGTCTCAGGAGCAGGTTTTGTCCCCTCCCCACTTCGCAGCCAACCCCACCCTTGTCCTGCCAGCCCCAGACGCTGATGCTCTAAGGTGCAGCTCTCTGGGGCTTGCTTTAACCTCCTGCCTCTCTCAGCAGAACCCCAAGCCCAGTTCAGAGGAGATATCCTTGATAGCAGAGCAGCTCTCCATGGAAAAGGAGGTGGTTCGGGTCTGGTTCTGCAACCGGCGCCAGAAGGAAAAGCGGATCAGCTGCCCGATGCCATCCCCCATCAAATCACCCATCTACAACTCCAGACTGGTGAGACACTGGGGAGTGAGGAGTTCTGTGGGCCATCCCAGACAAGGAGGGGAAAAGGGTGTGGGGAGGCAGAAGGGTTTGCAGGAAAAGGACATTTCCTTGTACACGCCCCTTGTATTCCCTGATCCCACAGTCCGGTGGGAAGCTGCACCTGCAGCAGTGTCCTGGGCTAGCCATGGATTGGGGATGTAATCAACATCCCAACTCCAGTGGAATCTCAGTCGGAACATTTATTTTTTATTCTGTTGTTGAAAACAGTAGAAAGAAAATGAGAGTTTCCCAGGAGGAACAGTTTACTTTAATTGTAGGATCATTTATTTAAATAGGAATGCTGTCCCAAAGCTTCCCCCTTGAGACCAGTAGGGAAAACCTTTCCAAAGTTAATGGAGGAGTTTGGGAATTACATCCACTCCTATCAATTTAGTTGTTAACTCTGAAGCATAATGGTAACTGTTTATACATCAGTCTGTTGTTTTACATCTGTGCAGGAACACAGAATACACTTAATTAGTGCTGATTGTCCTTCTCTCGTGTTGTACATTCACATCCTGGCAAGTGTATTTTCACTGCCAGGGAGGACGGGGAAAAGATGAGGAAAATGTTGTGAGAGCTGTTGAAAGTGTGTCCTTGTGATCCACTGTCAGTGGGTAACGAGCTGCTGTTGCATCTCTGCTGGTTAATTTAGTGGTTGCTTGGTTGCTTTGACATTTAAAAGTGGCAGGAACCTCCCTACAGCGACGTGAGTGCTGTGAGTGGGAGGGAGAGTCTGTATTCACCAGCGACACTTTTTATCTTGAAATCTTCTGGGCTTTGGAATTATCCCTCGGAAGGCAGGAAAACATCCCAGGGAGTTTGGCCACTTGTTGCACAACACGTTTGGTCTGAGCTCACACGCACAAAGCGCTGCTTGCAAGCCCTGGATTCTCAAAGCTGCAGCTTGGGTGGATAATTTCTGTGTTGTACAGAACATCAGCCACCCTGAGCTGCCTCCAGTATCAAACTGGACAACAAATGCCCCAGGCCTGCTTGGATTGCAGCTCCCAAATTCCTGTCGCCTGAGAATTCCCACCCATCCACAGCTCCCTCAAGGACGTGGGATTATTTGTGCCCTGGACCAGAGGGAGCTGGGAAGTTTCAGAACATCCAAAGGGCAGCGGCTCCTGCAACGGGATCTTGGGGCTTCCAGAAAATTTGGCTTGCTTTGGATCATTTCAGGCTTTTCCATGAGTTTAGATGGATGTAGAGGGTGCCAGCAAAGTGTAAAACTAATTCTGGTTTCTTTCCGTGGCCCTGGGTATGGGAATGGTGCTTCTACACTGGAATGGGAATAGAAATATCCGTGATATGGGTGATAAGTGTGCCTGGGAGCCAGCACACCCCGAAGGGAATGTGAAAGGAGTGGCATTATGGGATTTATACACTCAGTGCCAAATGCTGTTTGCTTCTGTCTCTCCCCAGGTCTCTACCTCAGGGTCCTTGGGGCCCCTCTCTGTCAATCCAGTGCACAGCACCATGCCTGGGACTGGTAAGCCTTGGGAATCCTGCCCCACTCTGCCTTCCTTCCCTCCTCCCTCTGCCCTTGCTCCCTGACTGCTTGATTTCGGGGTCACATTTGCAGGATACTCTTCATAAGACCCTTGGGTTTGGCCCGGGAAAGTGTCCCCAGATAACTGGTGTGCCCGGGACAAGAACAACCGAGTCTTTCTCTTGGCTGGGATAAAGACATTCCCAGGATAATCCTGGGCAAATTTTAGTGGGGTGTTTAGGTCTGGGAGCCAGACACACACATGAGCCAAGCAAGGGGAGTGCCTGGGGGTGGGTCAGAGTGTCAGATCTCCTTTGAGAGGTGAGAAATAGGAATAGGAGTAGAAATAGGAATAAGAGTAGGAATAGGAATAGAAATAGGAATAGGAATAGAAATAGGAATAGGAATAGAAGTAGGAATAGGA